GATTATCTAGATGAGCTGGAAGGGAGCTGCCGGCTCCAAAGCAGCCTTCTGATCTTCAGGTCATAGGCTGCGTCGACGGCCCCTTTCCCCGAAAGGCTTGGGTTTGCTGCCAGTGCAGCCGAGAGGCTGTGTGTTCAGTAGTGACATCAATCAGTACCTCTGCCTAGGCCGAGAGCAGGCTCCCAGCTGTCCCCTAGGAAGGAGGCACTGACTACTGAACAGGCCTCACATAAGGAAGAGAATAGGACTGGGCAGAGGGAAACGACCAGGGCCCCGGCAATCCCAGATCTCCACTGAGCAGGAGGCCAGGGCAAGGGAGAAAACACACAACTCAGACGCAACTGCAAAAATCCAGCTGTGGCTAAGAGAGGCCTGAGAGGAGAGTGCAGCAGCAACGGTGGCAGCATGAGGGGAAGACGAGGAGAGAAGAGAAACAGTGTGAGCATTAAGACAGTCCTGACTTGCAGAGCACACTGCGGTCCCCTCCCCACCACTGCCCCCGCTTCCCTCCCCAAGCCCCTGGGCAGAAAGGCATTCCCTTGGCAAGTCCTAGCCCCTGCTATGCTGTGAGCACAGTGCCAGCCGGACTGCCCTCTTGGACAGGTTACCAGCGTGTGCAGCTTGTCCTCCAGCTCCTGGTTGGTCCTCTGGGAAGCTGTGTAGCTGTTCTGCAGCCTGTAGAGGAATACAAGGCAGGCCCCTGGGTCAAGGTCCTGTTTTCCAGGCCCTGTTCAGCCTCTCCTTCATGAGGGATCTTGGGCAAGTCATTCTCCTCCCTGAACTTCAGTTTTTTCACCAGAATCAGATGAGGCCTCTTCCAGCTAATCCCCAATGATGGGGAGATGTGTGCATGTGTGTCCTAGCCCCTTGTTCCCATACCTGCGAAACTTGTCCTTAAATTTGTCCAGCTCCTCGCGGCTCTGGCCCAGGTCCAGCTCCAGGCAGTCCTGCCCAATTTCCGGCTCTCGCTCCAGGGCCTCGGTGCGCCTGGTGGCCAAGGCCAGGCGCCTGCGAAGCTCTTCATTCTCCTGCTGCAACAGCCTGGCAGGGAAGGAGTCAAGGGCAAAGGGGCATTAGAGATAGAAGGGCCAGCCCTGGAGCCCCAGGCTGGTCAGGGAGTTAGTAGGGATGACATGAAGACAGGCAACTAGGGGCAGGGGACTCTTGAACCTCAGCCCTTCTGGCCCAGGGAACACAGCCTGGCTTGGAGAGTGGGGGAGGCAGAGGGGATAGTAGATGGTCGTCCCCCCACCCTCCCCCTCACTGGAGAAGAATGAGAAGACAGAATTGGGTGGGGGGATTCTAAGTCTGTCTCTGGTTACAGCCCAAGCCCGCCAGCCACC